TTCAGTGTTAAGTAGGAACGGTAGATGAAATCACCATACACGAATGCCATGTAAATCAATAATATGAATCCTAGTACGACACCAATAGGAAGACTTTTGAAAAATACGGCCGTGACGATAACAACAAGTGTAATCAGTTCTTCAAGTCTCAAACTAGGTAGCAAACTGAAAAGAGTTCATTATTTCGTACGTAGAAAAAAATTCCAAAAAAATCTATTCTTTGTACTCGAACTTTCACATATCTTTCCATTTTCGAGGCTATTTTTAGGAAATTTTTTTTCAAACTAGAATAGGAAAGAAAAGAAAAAATTAGGAAGAGAAGAAAAAAATAAATGCACTGCTGATATTTATTATAGGCGTTAAAAATAGTAAAATGTAGAACATTGCTACATAGAAAATGCAATGAAGGATGTCATATGAGAAGACGAAAAATTTCCACATTATTGTCCACATTATTCGTGCACGACACAATTTCGCAAGTGATTTCGGCACATTTTCATTCAAAAAGATGTTACGCGTCCGTCATTCACAAAAGTCTTAGGATACGTTTGGATTCGTATATCAGCCGGCGTTTTTGTATTTTTCTATGCCATGAGAAGGCTCTTATAGAGCGTTTCCAAGTCTGCATCAGGAAATTTCCTCACTGTGTATATTGAAGAGACCTTTCCTTAGACAAATGTAATAGTAATTTGTTATCGTGGAGTGAGTGGGAGGTGCAGAGTTGACAAGTCGAGTTCAGGATCGCACCCAGCAATCATGATTGCACGGAACTAGAAACACAGCCATGCCGCTCTTCTGTTACATTGGCTCACTGTTCCTTTCTTCCTTGAGTGAAAGCTGTATTATACACACGGCACATATACTATATTAACAAGTTTTCATATTGTTGCCATAGAAATTTACAATTTTGGCCCTCCTCCAAACCAAAAATGTGAATTTTCAAGTGTAACAAACCACGTCTTGACAAAGCGAAGGTTTTGCCAAGTAAAATTCGTTGTAATTCTTTTGCTCTACACAGACCGAGCGATTCTCCGTGCACAAAATATTTTTTTTTCAGAAAGAAAAAACGTCTCGGCATTCAAGGAAAAATTTCTAAATCACTATCATTTGTCATTTATCAGTAGTTGAAGGACACCATGAACCACACTCTCGATCAGAAGCATGGACAAATTATCTAAGTCCACAACTATATAGAAATTCAGTAGCTCAAAAGTCACTTGTCAAGTTATCCTCATTTGAGTAATCAGTACCTTAAAGCAAATTCGGTACAATGGATCACATACACACCGGCAAAATTCTCTGCAATACAGCAAGAATAATTAGTCCTCTGTCGATACTATTTTGAGCGGTGTGTAAGGACTATACAAGGGTTTTGACAGTGTAGGCTGAAGAATGACTTTCAGGAGCGCAAATCGTTAAATCTATGAATCATCAATTATATTGTTTCCTTTATCTGCTTTTCTTTTCGTGTGCTTTCTGAGAAGAACTGGAGGTATTAGTGGCGATAGACTAATTTAAGTGTGGAGATTTTTAGTGGACCACTTGATAAGGTGTCCCAGTGTTGAAAATTGGGTAGAGAGAAAGCTAAGACAATTAATAGGACTTGTAAAACGAGAAGCAAGTGATAGTTGACTGTGCCTTATATTGTCCACAAATGTTCTAAATTGACAAGAATTGATCGGTAAGTTCGTAAAAAGCTGACCTAGCTGATTTTTCGAGAATACCAGTTTCGACAGCGTCGCTGTGACGTGGTTGTAGTGGATTTGGCGAGGCGCCCAACGCCATGCCAAAGCCGGATGACCACCTCTGACAACCGTATTGTCTACGTAGAAGTTCACGAAAGCTCCTCGAATGAGGGAAAAATGCCACTGCAGACAGAAATTGTTTTTACGCACGTCCACACAGTTGACAAGAAGGTGACGTTGAATTGGTTAAGCTGTAAATTTCAAGCGATAAGAACGAATAGAACTTTTTGGAAACGGATCGACCACAATCATAAAGATTTTCGGAACCAACGAAAAGCGATTTATCGGGCACATAAGATAAGAATCATGAGCGATTCGGTTTGGTATAGTCTCGCAAAAGTGAAAGCTATTCCCAGCCCGCAATCCGTTAATCTTAACGATAAACACAAAATTACTGCAACACTCACGACACAGAATGAAAGTTCTGGACAGAAACTGCTACTGTTGTCATACACATATAGTCTGAAGTGCAATGTAGTGCCTTAGTGATGTTTCTTGAACTTATCAGTTGGAGGAAAGTTGTTATATAGTTTGGTGGCGATATAGTAGTTTCTGACTTTACTTAATGTTATCACCTCTTTTGTTACAGATTTTCGCATTTGATAATCACAAGTCGTTTGCAGCTGAGTATATAGCTGTAAGAGACTAATCACACGTTCGCCTATCTTGAGCTGATCGCCCTGGGCGGATTTTGAATCATTTCAACGCTTTTTTAATCTGTGTGTAATCACGCTTTATCATAACATGGCAAGCTCATCTATGTTCCATCTTGGAGTGTGGTTTTACCTCATATCTATCTATTTATAAAATATCACATTTTTCTGAATCTCACACATATTGTGTATGTCGATTATGATCTTGATAGCAGCATTCGATTATTCATTTCTGCCATGCCTATCGATGATGTAATATGCGGAAAGAGTAATTTAGATTGAGACTACATAGGGGAGCAGTCCAAGGACCTCTAAGTCGAAAGATCCCGGGTGAAAATTCAAGCTCTTCACTTTAACGCTGGCTTCTCTCAAAGACTCCGCTACGATTTTGTAGGGGTCGCTTACCCGTAACGTTTCCTAGATTCATTGAACACTTTAGGTATGCATATGATGCATTTCTCTAATGAGATAATGTTCAGAAATATTCTTCACTAGGCAGCCAATACTTCCTACCTTTTTTACAGTCACAATCTTTTCATGTTTGTTGTTCTGCGCATATGCCATTGAACTATCTGCAGCTAGTGAACATGCTACTTCAAATATACAAGTTCACGGTTAGCAATTTCGATGATATGCCATTGGCCATGCTGCAGCTCTAACAGAATATGTCCAGCGAACGCACATTCTGGTCACTGCCACATCGGCTTTTTACGTGCTAGACATGCTTATCTCCCTATACGTGGTGAATTCCACCCATTCAATAATACTGTATAAACAGTGTTAATCACAAGCGGAAACATTTTGCCACCTCTTCTTGCACTCCCAGTTGCTCCCTAGATTTCAGTTGAATTGCACTTGTATGTGCCACTTGACTCTTCTGCAGCTAAAGCAATCCCGTATATAGAGTATCCTCTCCAATTATCAGTGTTATTCCTTACTCTTCTGGCTGCCTTTGCGTGATGCAGTGCTCGAGGAGCAGTGCAGCTGCAAAGCTACTCAGACACCGTTGTGATGCACCTCACTCCAATTTTGGCACTGTCTAGTTACTACCAGATCATCCTTTCGATTGATTTCCATTACGTAACTTATTTTCCAACGTTGACACGGTTCTCTTCTAATTTGGTCACGGCATTTCTCTTATCGTGACTTGAAATCTCTGAACTTTATTATCTGCGATATTACTATTGCTCGAAAAGACGACGATGTTGCTGATAAAGCAAAGGATTTAATTAAAATCACCATGTTACGGTGCGAAAGGAGTTGTTGAGAGTCTTTATATAAAACGGATTTACTTTGTTCTAGTGTTGTAAAATTATATTCGTATCGACAATGTTGAGAACTTTTTCGTAGTTGGCGGCGATTGAAGTAGGAGTTTTTGGTGATCCTAGCGGGCCCTGTGACCTCAACCAAGGTTTGAATGTAATCCACACAGCAGAATAATTGCTGAAGTCCTACTTGACGAGATGGGCTGGGATCATTCAACTTCTCGAATGCAAGACGGGGTAATTTTCATGGAGAACCTATAAGCATATAATCGAATCTCTTAATGATTCAGCGACTAGGCGATGTCCAAACTCTTGGTAAATTCTTGCATTCTTGGAAAAAAAAGATTCCTATTGATAAAGCGTAGTGTGACTGGGTGCCGAGCAAGACGTTTTCATATTTTCACACGTCGTCCTTTCTTCTCTCTTGGACTTGAAATTCCTCAAACTTGTATCCACTTTGATTCAGTGCAAAAGTGTTCGATATCCAATTCGTAAAAAGGTTGTATATCACTCTCTCAAAAAGCCATAGAGAGTGCGTAGTTCGCATCCATTCACTCTGTAGGAACGATGAGATATATAACGGAGCTATATGACAGCATCTTTCCTTCTTAATTAACAGAGTTGCTGTAAAAGCAATCATTATGCGTGGGCTTTATTACTTTTAGACGCTTTCTAAGCGATTCTGTGTAGTTTGATGAAACCCTTGGTCTCAAATAGCGTAGTCAGCTTTAGTGATGTAGTACCATAAATGTAGTTAGACGCAGTGCCCACAGTGCATTGTAGACATGTTGCTTCGATCCGGTTTCAGCAACGTTCTATGGAACCTGGAATTTGTCTCCTCTCACCGACTCTCTCACCATCTGACGTCAAAGTGAGAGCGCACATTTCACAACGTGTTGGAACTGGTTTATAGCCTTACAAGCTGTTTTTTCTCAGAAAATGCAATGTAGCTTTGCATAGTCATTTCCAAACGGCACCAACTGCATTCCCAATCATGCCTATATTGCCACTGTCATCCCATATTAAACTGAGCGAGGTTTGCCGTTTCCCGAACCACGATATTACGAGGACGACGGCATTTACTGTGATATGTATAATTATTTAGATTTCTGGATGGAAACTTTTTTGCAGTTTGATAGAATGAAGAAGCTGAAGAGATCAACCATGCCTGAACACTACAATGAAGGAGTGACAAACTATTTTTCACACCTTCGATACAAAAATCTAAACGAACTATACGATCGATGAAGATTCTTGCATTAACCACTTTTATAGCAGTGGATTGATGTTATAACTATAAATTCAATAATATTGAGCGATATGCAGAAGTTTCAACTTTGAGCGGGAATTAAACCCGCGTTCAACCTTTTCAAGGACATCCACTTCGTGCTAACCACTGCACTAATGGGACTTTTGTTTTAATATTATTCTTTTTGTGATACAAGGCAACTATTCTGTCAACAATCAACCGCCTACGCGGGTCCAACTTTCGTTCGAGATCCGCATGTTTGCGTTTCACTATATTATATTATATTATTGGATAAACGAACTACGCTTCGATTAAGAAATAGCTTTTTTGTCATTACTGGTTTTCCTAACCAGAGAAGCTTTGAAAATACGATATGTAGTTTCCTTTCTGAGCCGACTTCGAAGCGAAAAACTGCTACAGCAAATATAAGATTGAAATAGCAAGACTGAGAAATGCAAAAGTGGTTGCTTAGTAGGACAGGAGCTTGGAATGTATTGCGTGTCATCCACACTGCGTACTGATGTAGAGTATACCTATAAAGTTCGCTAGAATGTTGGTATTTCTTATAAAAAAAATGAGCCTAATCCGACATAGGTGACCATTTCCAAAGGAGCGATTGGAAGTTTACTGATAAAGTGGGAGGTTATTTGAAGAGTGAAAGTCACGTTCCTTACTGTAAACTCATATGTCATTACTCAACTTTGTCCTTGTCCACTAAATGAGCTACCAAAAATACGAGAGCAGTTTTTGATTTTGTCCAATCACACCGTAGAATTTGAACGTTTTGAAAATTTTCAACGATTAAAAGATTTCATGCTTCAAATGGCAGTCCCAATTAGTCCCCAATAGTAGTAATACGTATAAACACTAGTGGCCAATGTTAGCCAATATAAGTGAACTCACAAGTATCTACTATCCAGAACAGCAAATAATAAGCGATATTAATCGTCCAAAAGACGGACACAGTTGGGTCGCCAACAGTGTTCCACTGACTGGCTGGTTCTAGGTGAAGAAGTAAAGAAACGAGATGGTCGCGCAAATTTGCTGTAATTGGGTATGACAGTGAGATTAATGCAAAGTGGTTAACTTCAGATCATGATATTTACACCTAAAACTTTTCACAAAACGAAAAAATGTACTGGATAATAAAGTTGGGCACACTGATGTTAAATAAGAAGAGTCAGTGAAGAGTAAATGTTTGTGATCAAGGGTACTGTTATCAATTTGGTTTTTCAAACAAATCATGGAACATTATCGTCTGATCGTTTAGCGTTGTAGATGCTCCACAATCACCGGAAGTAACTCAATGATAATCTGGACATCGTGAGTGCCAGCATTCATTGTAAACAGTAAAAAATACACTGTTTTAATCGACAGATATTAGGTAACGTCAACATATGAGTAGAAATGTCACTGGAATGGAAGTTCATTGTGTGTATTGGGATTTTTCACTGCTAACGAAATCTATTAAACAATCTCCATATCGATCATGTGCAAAACATCTCGGCGCTATTACTCAATTGAAACAGCTTCTACTCATTTGGAGGCTCTACGGCTCTACCATCATCTTGAAGAATCACATGTGGCGCTTTCACTGAAATGGACTGTTAACTGAATTAGTCACGAGCTTTACAACTATGGCTTATATTGTTTGCCACCAGTACATGTTAACTGGACTATCACTAAGATTTATTGCAGCTTGTCGATGACAGTTTGCAATAACCGGTTTTTCATCAAGGAATCGTTCAAGTTGTTCTGTTCTTTTTATTATGCCACTTGCCTGTGATAACAAGTGGAAAAAGTAGAACATCGTAACTGGAAAGAATATTCATTGGGTATTTTCTGAATCTAAAGAAGAAAACGCACTGGATACAGGTGGTGTAGCGTACAGGCTTGGTTCAACTTCATCTCGTGCAAATCAACCCGATCTCTTAATAAGCAAAATGGTACCTCACCGTTTAGTAAGCCCTCATTGGTGAAGTCCTGGGAACGCAAAAGTAGAGCTATTTCAGAGGACTACAAGTAGGATGTACTACAAAAGCATTCTGCGGCACGAAGGAGTTGAAGTCGTCGAATTGAAAATCAACCCACAACAAAAATTTGAGCACCTACGAGTAGAGAGGATGTAAAATGAAAAAGGATAAAAGTTGAGTGCTGTAGGGTGAAAAAATGCTTCGATCTCTATCTTGTGTAGAGACCGCCTAGCGGAAGAAAAACTCAAAAAGTGGTGGATTTGAGATGATTCAACTGGTAGCATGTAATTGGAACAAATTACTGTAGCGCACAAGCTCGACTGAACTGCTATCAGAACATGATACCAGCTATCATCGAAGGACAGTGTCACCCAGAGACCGGAACGTAAATAAATCGAATGATGCATGAATGTGAATTACAATAGGACACTTTTCAAAAGAATTTATAAGTGGAGTAAAGTTATCCTTGTGGATTTAGTAGTGGGAGACAACATATTGAAATGCTTCAACTCCATTTTTCCATACTTACTGAAACTTTGGAAAAAACCTGTAAATTGTCATTTTATTGCAAAACACAGTAAGAGTCAGTGATTTATTTTTTGTGCATTTCAGATTGCTCCTTTATTCAATATTCATTCAAAACAGCTCTTTTGAACAATAAAAAACGGAACAAAACGTGGTAATAGTGTAGAGGAAAATAAGCAAATTCTATAATTAATTCAAATCGTGTAAAAACACTTATTTTGGTCAACAATGCATTTGGCAGAGGGAGAGCTGATTTCACTACCACGATTTCAAATTTATTTCTTTCTATATTCTTATTTGAAACTGTCTTCGATTCGATCAGATTTCACGATCTTTTCACACAGTGAAATGAATCAAAACAATGGTGATTTGAAAAGAAGATATATGGATTAGGCAGAAAAAACATCTCTACATTTCTGCATTGTTTTTAGTTAGGTAACGTTTCCATAATTTAGCGAGAATAGATAATCACAGTTGAGTTGGAGACATTAAGAAAAGTTGAAAAATGAAATGATCATAAGATGGAGAAAGAGCGGAAGAAGTTTAGAAACAGAGGAAAGTGGCACACAAAAAAAGAACAAAGTAAAATGAAGAAAGTGCAAAAAACCATGAGAAACGGTAAGGAAAGAAAAGCAAGAAAGAGAAAGAAGTAGCTGCAATAATAAGTCGGAAATATCTTATATGTCACTAATGGCGCAAAGAGGATTACGGAGTTATAGAATGAGACGCATGGAGTTTGACATATTGTTCGAACGTCATCAAAGATTGCTTGTGAAACCCCGATGAATTCCAAACGAATAATTCTGTGGAATGTTCGCATTACGTAGTGCGATTTTTTTTCAAGCGCAAACCAGGCTTTCATTTCTCCGCGATTGGCAAAGTAAGCATAAAAAGTCCTTCTAGAGTACTACGAGTAGAGGCGAATTCTAAGCGCGTCATTTAAGGAGCGTTGATCCATGATTTGCATCAACAACATGCATATTATTCTTTTATGCTCATTTTGAAATGATATACATGGTACAGGATAGAAAAAATATATCAACAAAGTGCTCTTGTAACACATACAAGTGCAAAGAAGCAGTTATGTGTTAGAAGATAAGTTACTCTATCGAACGTTGTAGAGAAATGTAACATTCAGGTAGCTCTTGATCACAAAAATACGAATCCTAGCACAGCTTTCATCGACGTGCATCTTGCCAAATTTCTGTTTTGATACGTAAAATATCTGCATAAGCAGGTTATAGGTGGTACACATTTGTGGTGGAGGGGTTGTTTAACGCTTTGCAATCAGGTTTCTCTCAGTAGAGCAATAACTCCTAGTACTAATTTCTGAACTTATGAATGAAAATCCTAAACTATTTCCCACCAAAGTTAACATCGTTCGCAGTGGTGATGGATTGTTTTGTTCTCTATAGTTCTCATACTGAACATTTTACCACGAAGCAATAACCGAACAACAGGATTTTTACTGTAATTTCACAGTTCTATATGAAATCTACGTATACTCAAAGCACAAATTTGTAACTTATAAGCATTCATATAGATATAGATAAATCTATAATATCTGTCCATATGATTTGCGACTGATTCTGTTTTCAGATGCTTTTCGGCCTTAATTGAGCGCTCTTCAGCTCACAGTAAACTTTTTCAGTGAAAAAAAAAAACAAGAAGATCTCTACACATTTTTGCTGACTATCAAAAAACTTCAATGTTATCTCAAAGTAAAGTTTAGGTTCTAACTCTCAAAGGCCCATGGAAACCTTTTTTTTTGAGAAGGCCCGTATTTTATGAAGCTAAACTATCGAAGAAACGGTATTTCATTCATCATGTTGACAAGATCTCTCCAAATGACGTAGTCAGGGTGAGCTGTAGGAACTTTTATTTTTATCCTTTTCATGTTAGTCTTAATTTAAGCTTTCAATCGATTCAAAATTCAAATTGATTTTGAAAGATAACAAATGTCTTGAAAATTACAGGGTAAAGTCTTTACAAGTTTATCAACACTTCACATACTCGGTTCATAGATTATCGCTGTCTTCAAACTATAATTTGTCAACTTGAACTGGATAACTGGTATTCTTCAAGCTATGTAGTTACATGATCGATTCCTGATGAACTATTCACATTTTTCGATAATGTTATCAAGGGCGACGCTCACTCAAAGTCAACAAAGACGTGACCGTTGTGTTACGTTCCACCACAGGTTTTGTTTTCGAGCATGAGAACGAGATTTTCTGATAACAATGACAATTTCTAGTCTCCAGCGTATAGCGAATCGTTTGCAATGTCTGACTGATGCAAAGCGTCGATATCATTTAGATGACAGTGAGACACTGAACATTACAAATGGTCTGTGAAACATATGATTAACACAGAGATATAACTTATTGCAGCAATAAGCGCAATATTGTCATCAATCATCAATCGATTTTAGTCAGATACTGAATAAGAATATTAAAAAAATTTTAGTATCAAACTAATAAATAGCTGTTGCTAGGCCGTCATAAGAAACTTGAGATACGTTTCTAGATAATCGTCATTTTTATTACGTAGTTATGTGGTTTGAGAAGGTTGAATATGTCTCTGCACAAAGCTGGCTCCCCCGATGGTTTACTGTGGTAACTCCCTTCAATGTACAATGGTCTAAACACATGGCAG